TACTCTTTGCTTCTTCTGCTGAGGTTGCAGGAAAAAAAAAAAAAAAAAAGGGAAACGGGAAAGAAAAAAAAAATTAACGAAAATTACATAGTTCGAAGACGGATGGTGTTGAATGTCGGATTTTTTTTTTGCGTACAAAACCCCTGGCACAAGTGGGCTCTTTTAACAGCCTTTTAACTGAGGGTATAAAAATTGACTGGTGGTGGAAAGTAGTAAATAGAGGAAATACAGGATAGATCCAAACTGTGAACCGTGAATAAACCTTATTGGAAAGAGCTGAAGTGAGCAGAGAGTAGGTAGGCAATTCTCTCGCTTCTGTTCTGAAAAAAGAGTGCGACGCGTTGGCACTTTTTTTTTTTTTTTTTAAACATTCTGAGAGAAAAGAGTAAAGAAAGAAAAATAGCGTTGTGGTGGAAATGGGATGATAAAAGCAAGATGTAAAAGGCATAAGTACCGAAGTGGGTATGCCCGCCCCTGGCGCTGCCCCGCCGCAGCCCGGTGGCTCAGAGCCGGCGGCTGAGCTTCAGCAGAAGCCACGGCGTTCAGAAATGTTGCAACAGCACTTTAGAAGTCTCTAAAGAAAAGCTGAATTGTTGGAACTTAGGTAACTTAAGGAAACTCGTTATGACCTACATTGCTGTTCTGAGTCAGCAGATGCAGCCCCAGCCCCGGCGGGTCCCGCCGCCACCGCACACCCCGCACCCCTTGGGCGGAGCCGCCCCCCCGCCACCGCCCGGGCTCGCTGCTTCCCGGGTTTACAAACAAACTCGCCTGGATCGAGACGGTTTCACTTCTGCTCTAAGGAATGCCTCCGCGGCTTTTTTTTTTTTTTTTTTTTTTTTTTTTTTTTTTTTTTTTTTTTTTCCTCCTCCCAGGTTTGCGGACAGAGCAGCTTGCCTGCCTCTTACCGGCTGTATTTTGAGGGGGAAAGAGCTTAAGCGGAGGACAAGGTCTTTTCTCCAAGTTTTTAAGAGCCGTACTTTATATCCCGAAGGGATAGTCATTGTTTTCTCCACCGGGAAATAGATGCCTTATAGGGAAAAGTTACTACATGTTGCACACTGCTTTGTTCTTACGGTAAGAGAAGGAAACTCTGAAGTTCCAATCAAAAACTTACCGAACAACTTTCCATGATTCTTCTGTAATGTAAAGTAAAAGTAGCAACGATTAAACTTCAAATGACCACACTGTCAAGATTCATAGCTGAATCCAGTTTGCAGCGAGGTCGGACAGTCGCGCCGAGCGCTTGTTAAACGCACGGTCAGCGTCAGGACCGGGGAACCCTGATTGTTTTAACATCTTGATTAGAGTAATCTGTGCGCGAAGGTACCGCATCACCCCGGCCAGGCGAGGGACGGGGAATAACATCGAGTCAGCTTGCTTTGATATTTAAAATGACGAAAGACTCGAGATGAAATGACCTCAGAAAACTCCGCCTTTGGAAAGCAGCTCTTGCCGCCTCTCCCTTGCCCCCCGCTGTTCCCCCTCAATTCTGACTATTTCTATATCGACACGTCGTTGCCACCAGCAGGAGAACTGAAAAGACAAAACTTAGCTCCAAACGCCTTGGTTTTCCGGTCAGGAGTTTACCGGGTTTGCCCACTGCTTCGAGCACTGCTTTTGGTGTTATTGTCATTATTACTGATATATTTTTATAAAGTTTTAGGTTTTTATTGGTCGAGTACGGCAACTTACTGCATTTAATAATAGGACAGAAAAATCTAATTTGCTTTCCTTTATTTATTTTTAAAAAGAAAATTTCACAGCAATGATAGAGACTTGATTCGATACTCTTTAGTAACAACTTCTAGCAGCTGTGAGTTTCTTGCAACAGTGATAGTTCAGCGTCTCCTCTTAAGAAACCAGTGAAATTCGGAGGCAGAGGCTGAAAGCAGCTCCCCATACCCCTAAGCAGGGAGGGGGGCAGGAAAATGATTCCTGCGGTTTTGGGAAAGAGTTGTTTCTCCCTGTGGTGGTGGCACCCCCCCAAGCCCCGTGTCCCAGCAGATTCCCAGTTTGCAGCTGGACACGGGGATACGTCCCTGCTGCCTCACCGTGAGGATGAGCCACTGTCACTCAGCCACCTCCGGCTCTGCTTTCGGCGGGTGCTGCTAACCACCACCAAATAAAGTCAACGCCTTCGCCTGCCTGATTTTTATTTTTTCAAAGAACCCCTAAAATTCCCCCGCGGTGTCATGGAAAGAGACAGCTCTTCTTGCTCATAAGCCCCAAATGTCAAAGGCAAAGGAGAGAAGATATTTGCACTTAAGGGAGGAAAAATGAAAGAAAAACCCAAACCGAAAAATCAAAAATCCAAGCCCAACAATAAAAGCCCCAGATATATAACTGGGGAGAAGAGAGAAGTGAGGGAAGAGGGAGAGAGAAGGGGGGGCTTCAGCTGTACCGGGGCTGACACAGTGCGTCTGCACTTCCAGCGAAGCAGGAGCGACTCCGGCATCCCGCTTTCCTCCTCGGCGGTTTTCTTGGGAATTCTGCGGGAGCACCGAGGTTTCTCCCGGGCTGCACTCCCCGGGCTCTGCGAGGCAGCCCCAGGACCCCGTGAGCTCCCCTTGTCCCCCGCTCAAACGCCTCCAAAGGGCTTGGCAGCTCCACAACAGGAGGAGGGCAGGCGGCGGAGCCCCCTCCGCTCCCCTAAATCGCTCTCCGTATGGTTAAGCCCCCAGAATGGGCTGGAAAGGCGAGATTTTGGGAAACCTGAGGAGAGAATGGACGTGATCTGCGCGTCGAAGCGAAGCTGAAGGATCTGTAAGCCGCAGTTAACACCGGTCACTTCTGCCGAGATTTTTGGGGCATTTAAACATTTTTTTTGGTCTGATTTTTTTTTTTTTGGGAGGGTGTGTCTAGACCCGCGTAATTTCGTAATAATTTTCAGACACTGTTGTCCTGTCCAGCGTGTTTGACCAGGTTGTTAAAGACTAGGCGATTTTTTGTTCATACAAACTGGATCTCTCCGAGGTTTAATTTAACCCCGTGCGGTTCATCACGTTTCTTGTACCGAAAAAAAGTACCTTTCTGGAGAGCCCGCCGTCAGCTCGGAGCTGCAATCTATTGCGGGACCGAAAAGGTACGATGCGATGTATGCAAAGTGACTGTAGCCTTTCAGGATGTTACTGAGGTTAAATCAAAGTCCCGGGACGGTAAGAGCAAAAACTTGGTAGCCGTCCAAGAACAAAATCGTTGTTTTCAATTGAGTCGGGGTTTGGTGTGGTTTTTTTTTCCCCTCCTTTCTTCTTTTTATTTCCTAGTGTAGTTGGAAAGTGTCTTTGTTCTTTATAAATTAGTGACGTTCTCGTCACGATTGGGACGATATATACCGCAAAAAATGACAGCGCTTAGCAAAAGAAATGCAGTAACCTGGATGATCAGTGACCCAGCAAGCACTTGCCTTTTCTGTTTGGTTTTTTTTTTTTAATTTTATTTTCTTTTATTTTCTTTAAAAAAAAAAAATTTTATTAAAAACTTCAGCGATTTCAGAACTGTGGCCAGGAGCAGGGGGTATAATTTCAGAAATGTCCCCCATGGCAGCCTAGCCGCCTCTGGTCGGAGAGGGGCTGCCGGGCACCGGGACTATGGGCATGGGGATATCACTTCTCCCTTCCGCAAGTGTTAAATTTCTCGCTCCTTTTCGTTTCCCAGTCCAAAGATTTCTCTGATGACAACAAAATATCTGTGTAAAGGCTCGCTTTCAAGCCAGGCTCAACATCCTGCTCATCCCCTCGATGTCAGCTTTCTTAGCGTCCCGTTTTCAAACACACTTTTCCGCAGAGATGTCCCCAAGCTCATATTTTTGTGTGTCCCCCGTCCCTCTCTTGCCCCAGTGACATTGAGGCGGGGTTTCGTCTCTTGTCAAAATGTGCACAGACTTGGGTGTAAATTCGAGAGTATGTGATTTAAAATCTCGTCGTAAAAATACCAAATGCAGAAATATTCGGCACCTTGGGTGTCTGGTGGTACTTTTATTTCTCCTGGCACATCAGAAGTTATTTAACATGTAAAGAAAAAAAGCAAAGGATCACATCTTTTTAGCAGAAAGTCAAACGATGCAATTAAGCAAAGAAATTCTGAGTTGGGAAAAGCTGGAATGCCGCTATTAAAAAAAAAAAAATCAAAAAAAGCAGCAACAACTGTTTAGGGTTTCCCCCACCCGCAAATGTGACCTTTTGGAGTTGAGTTAGCTGCTGCTTTTGAGTTATTTAGTCGTTCGGGGAAGATGCCGAGCTGCTGAGGGACACGATTCTGGTCCTGGGGCAGGTTCCAGTGAGGAGGTGGTGGAACCAGCAGCCGGGGTGTCCTGGCAGTGCAGCCGTCCTTACCATCGCCTCTTGGTCAGGCGAATCGAGGCGAAGCGCAGCTGCCAGCCTGCTGCAGGTCTGCTTCCCAGGCTGGTTTTGGCTTCCGGGGAAAGGAGTGGCTACTGTAAAAGGTTCAAATTGCTCGGATGGAAACTTTCTAGTGTGTTGAAAATATGTAAAGACAGAAAACGACAATGACACCGCTTCGAAACGCAACTTCTGACTCTCTGAAAAGCCTTCAGGACCTGGTACTGGATGACTAATTTCCATACCGCTCCGCTGAAACGGAAACATGTGCGCTTGGGGAGTTTTAGACTTTCCTTTTCCATCACCTCTGCAGAGTGGGGGAGTCCTTTATCACCTCCTGTCCTGCCATCCATGCTACGGGGCGCCTTGTCCATTCCCCGCAGGTTTCCCAGCGGGGCAGCGGGGTCTCCCTGTGGCCGGGGTTCATTTTCCTCGCTCCTCCCTTGGCCCTTTTGGCTGGCCTGTGCAGGACGGAGGGATCGCTGAACCGCCACCGCCACCCGCTGCCACCTGCCCTGCGCGCCCCGGCCGGGGACAGTGGTTCTGCAGCTACTTCAAAATAATTAATGTTTTGTTGTTTATTTTATCTCCCTACATTTTTTTTTGTTTTGTATTTATTGTTGTTGTTTCTCTGCACCAGCCTCTTATCTTTTCTCGCAGACACTCGAGCCAGTGAAGGCAGTGGGCGTGCAGGCAGCTACGGCAGCCCGGAGATCTCCCCTCTCTCCCGCTCTCCTCTGAACGCTGCCGCTAACACGCTGGCAGTGCTGGTGATCCGGCTCCAGCTGCTGCTGCTACTGCTGGTCAGTATTTACCACCAGACAGTTGTTTATCTCCTGCGTTCAGCTTACTGTTTTTATTTCCGGGAATAAAAAAAGAAAAAAAAAATAGAAGAAAAAGAAAAAAAAGTATCTTCGGCCATTTTCTGCAAACTTGACACCCCGAGGTGCAGGTTTGTCCGTGCTCGGACGTTCCTGGGGAGCTGAAGCGTTGCTGACTTTTCCCTGAGCACAGTAACTGCAAACACCACAGTAAAGCAGCGTGTGGGTCCCATCGGCAGAGCCCCCGGCTCCTTTTCCCGTGCTTGTCTCTCTTAACAGGGGCCATGTGCTATCCCGGGGCACGATTAGTTCTTCCCGTGGCCCTGGAACTGTCACCGGGGGCTGCACTCGCTAAGTCCCTCCGTTTCGTGCCGCCTGGCCGGTACACGGGGGACGAGCTTCGCCCTAGGGCACGCCGGGGGACAGGTGGGATGGGTACCCGCGGAGGAGCTGTGGCTGTGCCGGCAATATGTTGGGGACAGTTCACGACAATTCACTGGGACCGTCTGTGACTATGGTCAGGAAGTGCTATGACAGTTGGGGCGATGCTAGGACAGTCGGGTACGGTATTAGAACAATTGTGATAATGCTGGGACATCCTGGAACGGTGCTGGGACAAAGCTGGGTCAGACTGGAACTGCCCTGGCACCGTTCGAGACAGTGCTGGAACATCTGAGACAGCGCTGGTGCAGTCTGGAACTGCCTTGGGACAGTCTTGGCACAGACTGGGCCAGGGCTGGAATGGTGCTGGAACAATTAGGACAGCGCTGGTACCTCTTGGGACGGTGCCGGGGCAGCCGGAGCAGTCCAGAGGGCAGCGCCGTCAGGCGCCGGGCCGGGCGGAGGCCGAGCCGGGCAGGACATGCGGGGAGGAGGGAGCTGCCTGTGGCACCGCCGCCACCCCGGGGCCGGGCCGCGGAGGGGCTGAGCCTCGGCCTCGGTGTCTGCCGCCCGCGGCGGAGACCGCCCCGGACACTCACGGCTCGGCCCCGGCCCGGCCCGGCCCGGCCTCTCTGCGGCCGCGGCGAAGGGTCCGTGAGCGGAAGGGCTGTCGTGCCGAGCCGATCCCGGGCTCTCCGCGCAGCTCGCCCAGGGCTCGCTGCAGCTGGCCGCCGCTCCCCCCGGGCTCTCCGGTAACGCGGGGCTGCCGAGATGCGGCGTTCAAAAGGGGTCCGTATCCCGCATCTCCTCCCTGTAAAAATACATGGGTAGCCCAAAACTCGAAAAGGCTGTTGATAACATCAATCCCTTCTGGCTTCTGTACAGCTGCACCAATACACCTTGTGGTTTCCCCGATCCTTCAATTTTTCTTTTGCCTCCCCCTGGGAGACCCCGGGCCGCCCATACGGGTCCCTCGGGGCGGCACCGCCGGCCATTCCACTCCAGGGCGGTGCAGCTGTTCCGCCGATACTCCTCCACTGAAACTGCAAATCATTCACCCTCTCAAAGGCTAGCGGCTCTGAAAAGATGTCTTCTTCATTACTTTTGCTTATGCAAAATACAGTTTTTTTTCTTGGCCATAATAATTTAGCGGACCAAATTAATTAAAGAGGTTTGCATTTTACAGTCCCGCGGGACAATTTTAATCGACAATGAAATGTTATTTGACTTGGCAGTGGGGATCTGACTCATCAAGATGTAAATTAAGAGTGAACAGAGAAAAAATGTTTCCCTGCATACATCTGAATGTATATTTCCTCCTTTTAATAGATTATTTAATATTATTTCTCAGTTATAAATTAATAAGTATTCTAGAGTGAACTGAAGGAAGAGTAACCAAAATGATTAGTGTATCAAGTGGCTAATGTATGGAGAAACCTTCAGTATCTCTAATGTATATCTGCTTAGATAGAAATGAAAGTATTTGGGTGATGCAATACGTGTGCTTGTGGCTTTGGAGATTTGCAATGTGCAAATTTAATAGTACTGCTTCTGCTGAAGTGCTCACCATATTAGCAATGCTCAGTGCTTCAGGACGATGCTAAGTGCTGGTCTAGAATTCAAACTAGTTTTGAATTGTTACTTCAAGGTATGCAAACTCCAGAGAGAAATGAAATTTCATCAGCTTCACATGTCTGGCCTGTTGTACTACCTGACTCTTCATGGTTTAATGTACAACTGTATAGTTATCACTCTTCCGAGAGTCTAGATTTTCTAATGTATTGCACAGCAAATTGAAGCACTTGATTTGGAAGCATGTATCCTACCTTAGATGCCAGATCCCTGATCTGTCAGTATCTGGCTAAAGGTAAAATTTTTAAGATGTTATATGAAAAGGAAGTCTTGTCAATCTAAAATGGTATTCAGAAAGTATTTACTAATCAAAAGCTAGTCACATAGCTAGTTACATAATTTTAGTAAATATGGCTTTTTTTTTTTTAACAGGTCAAGTGAGTGGCTCAGCAATGATGTATGACACTACAAAAACTGTAAGTTAACACAATCAACACATGGTTTGCACACAAGCATTTCTGGTGCACATTGGCTATTTGTAATACAGATCTCAGAAAACAGACCAGCAACACCTAGTTCACTTCCCAGAAGTATATTTATGTCAGAAACTTTAGTTAAGTTTTCCACATGAGACTCTTATTCACCTGCGATCATCTTGAATTGTTTGGTGGTTGAGTAGCTCAGATGGGACCATAGGCCTGGATCCCCAAAGGTCATCTGGGCTCCTTGGGCATCTGACTCCTATTTAAATATTTTTTGCTGGGTAGTAGGATGTAAGTATCTGAATAGCTTTAGATTCTGAGCCTAATTTTTTTTTCTTAGGCATTACATCAGAGAGCTCTCATTGCACCTGTAAATGTACACTTGCCAGAAAATAACCCTGGACAAGAATATCCTACTTCTAATGAACAGACTTCAGCTCTTCTGCTCTAGTAGCCTGCAATGCACTGCACTGCGCTGCACTGAGCTCCATTTTGTAATTGGCAGGTGAGAGTATTTAATCAGTAAATCCCTTTGCTCTTGAGAACAGGAGAGAAGCATAAGTCTATTGAAAAGGAGCTTCTAAGGTTAATTCCATACATCTTAATTTGGAAGGAAAAGAAGTCTCAGAAACAGTGGAAGAAAGTATGGGGAGAAAGTGAAAAAAAATCAGTGCAAGAGCACAGCAAGAATGAGAAAAGGGAGGCATGTGTTTGAGATATCCAGGGGCATATATAAATCAATATATAGCTAGACAATTTACATAATGTTCTTAAAGCTTGTATTATAAATATGAGAATAGAGAGAATCATATCTGGGGGACATTCTCCTGAATATGGGTAGGAGGAACTTTTGTGCTTAATAGAAGCTAGTTCTAGCTGCAGCAGAACCATTCACTAATGCAGTGCCACTCAGAAGGACTTATCTGAGAGCAGTTATTATGTCTTTATAATAATAATTTCGAGGAAGAAATTAATTTCCATTATTGTAATTAAAATAGTTGTTTTTATTATATTTTTTCATTTATTTCTAAATTTGGATGGCTACTGCAGGAACAGGTATGGTACATAACATATGTCTGACTGATTGGCCTATCTCCACATCCCAGCTTCTTGCCTGCCTCATGCCAAGTTTGAGTGAAATATTGGGTCTTATGTTGTCTCCCAAAACTCAACAGACTGTGGGTCAGTCAAGGGATTCCTATCAGGCATGAAGGATGCACAGGAGCCTTCCTATAACAATGAATTCTAGCCCAGAAGCTCTCACCAAGGAACTGTAATTCACAGTACTCTGCCTGAATATGTTTTATCATGCAGAAGGCAATTACATGAAGATAGTTTAAAATATATGGGTTATTAATATCACATGGCTATGCACACTAGTTGTATTGGCTGATTGAAGAAGCAAGAGTAGGCTAATTAGCAGAATTTATTTAACACTAGCCCTGAATGTTGTCCTGCCAGGATCATTGCCCTCTCAGAGCTCTCTGGGGCACATACATGCACTTTCCACCTTACTATGAACGTCATCTACTGGGAAAGTTTGTGATTGTCTCTACTCCTTCCTTTTGGAGCCCTAGGTCTCTGAGGAAGGAAAATAAGCATGTCATATGAAAACCCCCTAAAGTTGCTTGATATTTTAACTTCCCTTTGCAAGGCAGCTGCTGCTTTTGCACGTGTGGGAATCTGGTGAGCCGTACAATCTTAGGCTGAGGATTTCTATTCACTAGGGATTAGCTGAACTGTTTTCCTAAATCAGTCACCAGATCTGGATTCCAAATTAACAAAGTGGTGCTGAGCAATAATGTAGACTGTAGGTAGCAGCTGTGCAAATTTATTCACTGAAAGCATTATAAAAGCAGGCTGTCTAACTGCCTTAGCTTTAGTGCAGTGAACTCTGAGCTGTAGCGAACTTACTGAATTTATAACAAGTAAAAAGCTCAGGTTCATTCAGCTCCAAGGATGCTGAATGAGAAATGATGGTCTTTGCACAATTACACTAAACACAACTGCTCTCAGCAAAAAGTTTAGAAGATGCAGAATGATTCCTTCCTAGAAAACAGAGGTAAAAGGGAACCCAGAGATCACTGAACCTCTCCCTATGCCCTGATGATCTGCTACCTACCCTTTGTCTTTTCCATTTGTCTAGCCTGTTCCATGAATGAGGTTTTACACACTCCTCATGCAATCTATGCAGTGTTTAACCACCCCTCCTGCTGGAAGTGTTTTCTTGGCACGTCTTCTGCAGTCATCTGTGGATTAAACCGTGCCAGTCTGTTGGGAAGGATGAATAAATATAACTGCCTGGCAAAAATTTACAATAGTACAGCCAGGATGAAAACTATCCCCCCTACTGGCTGGACAGTGCCCTTACCTACAGATAAGTCCAAAAGTCAAATGGACTGTTCCATCTCAACCCCCAAAATGTATGATTCATCCCACACCTGTAACCCTACCCTGAAACATCAGTTGTCTGTGACCCCATTGGCCTAAGTCTTGTTCCAGCCCACCTTGAAGCCCCCTGATAAGGGGTCTCTGAGGGGCCAGACGCTGTCTTGCGACTTCCCCCCTCTTAGATCTTTCATCCTCTCCTAGAACATCCTCTCTACCCCTTGTCTTTCCCCTCCCCCATCCCCTCAGGCCTTGCCACGTGCTGCGTCTGGCAGCTCCAAGCAAGACCTTTCACCATCCCTAATAAACCTGATATTCTAAGACAATATCTAATAAACCTGATATTCTAAGAGAATATCTCTGATATTCTCAGAGATCCCTCATCTCCATTCATCAAAGCCGTCATGGAGCCCAGTGTTCCCTACACCAGTCCTTTTGCATTTTCTTCACTGGTGTGCTTTTTTTTTTTTACCTCTCACAAGTCTTCTCTCTCTTTTCTGAACTCAGTGCAATTTCTATTTTGCTGTGTCTCAAATTAGACTCGGTATTCCATCTAGAACCATGCCCCAATTCAAGTCTCCCAAGGCTATCTTACTCTTTGCTCTTACTGTCCCACTGTGGGGTTTACTCTTTTTTAACGTTTTTTTTTATTGCAACAGCATAGTTGATTAAACCCTGGCTGTGCTCTCCTAACTCCTTTCTATGGGGCTGCTGTCTTACCACTTCTTGCCTAGACTTCATTTGTGTAGTGTGAAAATGCAGGACTTTCTATATGTTCTTACATAAGTTTGCCAACTATTTTTAAGACTATTTCTCCAGCTTGTCAAGATAATATGAATTTCAGTCCTATCTTCCAGTAAGTTGGTGGTCTCTATGGGATTATCTGCAGTAATGAATAAGCATATTTTTATCTTCCTTCATTCAGGTTGTTAATGGAAATATTGATAAGCTTCAAATTTAGCATGGATTCCTGAGGAATTCCACTCTATATATGCTTCCATTTCAATAACTAACCACTGATAAATACTTCTAGTGAATGATTTCCCAGCCATTTTGTACTCGTCCCATATCAGTTTCCTCTGAACTGTGTTTCTGTGTCTGAGGTAGAAGAATAATACATGTCAGTGTCAAAAACAGTCAAGATATGACACCTCCTGCTTATCCCATCTGTAATCCTGCCACAGAAGGAAACTAGATTCCACCTAGTCTTATCCAGAAAATACTATACATGCTTAATCAAGCCTTTATGAGGCCTGGAGCACCAGTTTCCAAACTGTGGCCTCAAGTGAAGGCTGGGCCTTGGAAGGGATGCAGCAGCCTGCTTGAAATCAGACTGGAGAAGTGGGGCTCACAGGCTGAAGTACATCTGCCAGGGTTACTGTGCTGTCACAGTCTCAGCAGTGGGCTGCTAGAGCAATCCTGTGTGAGGCAATGCCCTTGAGCATTTTCCATCTGTCTTTTCTACAGGTGAGCATGGTTCCGTAAAACACCAGTGCTTGTGACAAGTAACATTCAGATGCTATTTGTAGGAAAACAGTTGAATTATTGGAACCAAAACAACCCACCAACATTGAAATTTGACTTTCAGATGTTCAGATATTTCATGATATTCAAATACTAAATGAAAATGCACGGAAGATGACCTGAAGAGGAGAAGGGGAGATACAGATTGCAGCCAGAGATTGGAAATCTGCAGTCATTAACTTGATCATGGTTAGCAGGGCATGCCAAGATGAAAGAAATATTAGGGAAAACTTGATTCATATTAGTGTAGTTTAGAGATATACAGTGTGTACCATGTCACATTACACTACTTTACAGTTATTAGAGAGAAGTAGGTACTTTGAATATATAACTCATCTAGTCTATTTTAAAGAGGAAATGCACCCATGAATACCCAGTTGTGCAGAGTATGATTTAACAGGTAAGATGTAGGCATATGTATTTTATGAGTCTAATGTTAAGTTATACAGGGTTTTCTTTTTCCTTTGTGTCAGGTGCGTAACAAATCACTTACCTTCACTCAATTCTTATGGAAAGAGGGGCAATATCTCCACATTTGGAATGTGACATTAGTTGGAATTTTAGGAAAGCTTGATAGCTATATGGCACTATATAAATATAGAATATCTAAGTGATCTGATTATAATACCAGCTAGTCAGCTTAACAGATCACTTCTGTCATAGCTGCCATCATTCCTCTTGTTGCCTGGTTAAGAACTGCAGGTTTAGATCGAGTCATTCCTGGCTGAAAAAGGTCTTAATAATGAGGATGGCTTTATGGCTCACATTAGGGAGTTCCTGTTAAGAAACTGCCACTGAGTTATCTATGAGACATGGAAGTTAATCTCAATAGATTTATAATGCAGATTTACTAAACAGTAATAAACACCTATGCAGATACTTGGAGTATAAATCCAACATATAGTTAGTTCACTTTGTTTAGTTGATTCAGATTAGTTTTCTCAAAGTGTCTTGTCTAGACAAATCCTGAGTGTGTATTTGATCTGCCTACAGAGGTAAACTGCGAGTGCTACAGTATCTGTGGGTCTGAGTAGCAAATGAGACTGGTGGAGTTCTAGAGGACAGTGCCTGTCCCAGAGTCACTGGCAGAATTCTACACAGCTACTTGAGGGGTTAAAGAAGCAAGATAATAACATTGGAATTTTAATGTAGTCTAATAGATCTGATGACTTTTTAAATATATAGGGTCACAGTATTAAAAGTTGGTAGCATGTTTTCTATCCTTTTAAGCTTGGTATATAAACAACCAGAATGCTGAACAGCAGTTTTTTTGAAGGTGGTTTTCTCAAGGCACAGAGAAGAGACATTTCCATTTACAGCTGTATGCTGAGCATGAGACACCATTTATGTGTGAAATCCTCTGATGTCTTCTGCGATGCAAATAAGAATGTTCCTCCTGAAACTGAACTGGGAAATTCAATTCAATTCTAAAATTTGGTAAAAACTCATAAGAAACAGATAACAGTAACATGATAATTAATTTCAGGACTGAAGAAGCATAGGCAGGTGAATCCACAAATGTAAAAGAACACTTGGCTTTAAAATAATAATTGCCATGTTCATACTTCTCCTCCCAAACATCACTTTGTTGGA